ATTAAATGTAGAATATGATTTATTATAAAATTTAATAAACAATTTCTGATTTTAATAAGTATTTAAAAAAATAGTAACTAGTTAATATTTTATTACTTGAAAAATATTTTATTTTTATATTATAAAGTAATTAATTTATTCTTTTGTTTTTATATTTTGTTAATTCTTTTTTATAAATATTTTATTTGAAATATTAAATAGAAATTATTAATTGAATAATTTATATTAATATATTGTATTATAATAATATAATATACTAATATATTATATTATTAATGTACATTAGTCGACATAATAGGAAAAATTGTCTTTTTTTGGTTATTTGGACCGATTTGGTCGACTGAAATAATGCAATTTTTATATTACCATCCATTTTCATGTCGGTGAGCCTCGACGTCGACATATGTCGGGCAACATTCACGACATTTGAAACCATGGAGAAGAGCCAGGAAACCATTTAGGAGGTTGTTTGCTCCAGGGTATTCCATTGGCTTTAATCAATTGATCTCTTCAACAATGTCTGAATCGATGATTTGTCAAGAAAATGGAAAGAAATTGCCTTTTCAGCCCTGATGCAAGAGGTATCAGTTCCAGCTTGGTCCCCCCCAAGTGGATTTTACAATACGAACTTTAATGGAAGCAGCATTGGCAACTGGGGCCTTTGGGTAGTTTCCTCCTTCCTTTTCTATATTGCCAAAGAAAATGGGAAGAATAATGTGGGGTTGTGCGAGTGCTGTTGTTGTTTGGACTATTTGGGAAGGAAGGAATTCCAAAATATTTTTAGGGAAGGAGAGGAGCAAGGAAACCATTCAGGGGGTGGTTTGCTCCAAGGGATTCCATTGGCTTAAATCAATGGATCTCTTCAACAATGTCTCAATCGATGCAAGAGGTATCAGTTCCAACTTCGTTCTCCCCCCCCCCCCCCCCAAGTGGATTTTACAAAATGAACTTTGATGGAAGCAGCATTGCAACCAGGGCCTTTGGGTATTGGGGGTGTTTTAAGGGATGAGAAAGGGAAAATAACTGCTTTGTTCTCAAGCTCAATTGAAGAGGGTGGCTCTCTTAGAGGCTAGAGCAGAGATTTTGGTGGCTTTAGAAGGTGTTCAGAGAGCTAAGGACTTAAACTTGAGGAAGCTGATCATCGAAGGAGATTCTAAACTGGTGGTAGATTGGCTGAAGGGAAACAAAACCGGCCTGTGGATGTACAGCAATCGGAAGAAAAAATTCAAGTGGCTGACAAAATATATGAAAGTTAAAGTAGATTGGGTTAAGAGATGTGCAAACTCCTTTGCTGATGGGTTAGCAAAGCAAGGGGTGAATAGGGATAACTTGTTTTGGGTTCACTGTAACTTTTCTGCATTGTTTCTGGTTTGGGGGAGATAAGAGAGGTTATCTCCCCTTTGTATTCCTTTTTTCTAATTAATGAAATCCTTTGTTATTGATAAGAAAAGTGTTGGTATCTTTGTAAATAGGCAGCTAGTGTTGGTGTTCTCTTTAAAGTTTGGTTCATTTCTATGTGGCAATCACACCTTTGGAAGATAGGAGTGTTTGTGTTAGTGGGATTGTTGTTGTAGGGGCAGTAACAAGCTCATTCCAATTTACCCAACACACTTGGAGAACTCAATTGTTTATAATTTGTTTGAGTGCTATGGGGATATACAACAGGGGTAGCCCATCCACCACCTCTTACCCCCCAACCTTGGTGACGGCAGGACTTGAAGTTTCTGCTACAACCAGCAAGAGAACTTACCAACTGAGCCAGTTGGCACCGTCATTTGTTACAATTGACTTTTGTGATATATAAGTTGATGATGGTGTACTGTTGTTAGTGGTGCCCTTTATGAATATGACGAGTTAAAGGAAATGGTAGTCAAGGAGGTTTCTTGACTCTTCCGCCATGTCAACATCGAGTTGCTGCCTTCTCTTGTTGAGGTAATTTCTATGTTCTATTTATTTATGTTTTTGACCATCATTGCTGGAACATGGTTTCTTTTACTTGGGAAGTCAAAACTGAAATGATAATGTTGAATTTTTTTATCTAAGAAATTTCTCTCATACCTGGCGGCTGGCACTAGTAAAGAAGGAAACCAGGGACATGGCTTGCCATCAGAGCTGGGAAAAACTGTTGGTGCAAGTACCATCCGGACCATTATTGAATGGTACTAATTGCTTAAGTTTTTTTTTTTCTTTTTTCTTTGAAAATAAAGTAAAGAGAATTCATTAAACTAAAAGGCTTTACGCTTGATGTAGGTGACTGTGTTGAGAGAACACTCTTGGAAAAATTCATGTCTTCCATAATGAGAGTATAAAGAAGGACATGTGCAGGGGCAAGCCAAAAAGAATGCTTGGGTTAGTTGCATCTAGCCTTTGTAAATTTCCAAGGTAAAACACAACAGCTTATGGAAATATGGAGGAACCTACAGAAAGGCAGAAGGTATACTTGTTTATTTCCTTATTATTACGTCTTTTGATAATAAAGAGAATTCGTTAAACCAAAAGCCTTTACACTTGACGTAGGTGACTAAGTTTTGAGGTAACACTCTTAAAATAACTCATGTCACATGTGGTGCAAGGTCAGGCCAAAAAGAATGTCCAGTTTACGGGTTTGGTTGCATCTTGTCCTTTGTAAAGTTCCAAGGTAAAACGCAACAGCTTGTGGTAAACATGGAGGAACCTACAGATAAGCAGAAGGTATGCTCTTTTATTTTCTTATTTATAATATCATTCTCTTTGGTTGTGTTATTAACCATAACCTACAGATAAGCAGAAGGAAGCTATTGGTTCTATGGTTAGAAGCCATCAGTGGGTACTATTATTGCTAATTGAGTGACTAATGAAAAATAATTGCCAATGGAATGATTTTACTTGTTTACAAGTCTTTAATTAAGAGTTCTGCAATGTGGCTGTTTGTTGAGTTTAGGTTGCTTTCTTTTGTTGTTGAGAGGAGTGTTTATGTCTTTTTATGTTTTGTTAGGCTTTTGTTTATTTGACAGGTTGGGTCTTTCTTTTTATATCTGTTTTATACTTTTATTTGAGTGTGGGCTTCATGTATTGGGCCAGCTTAGGCCCATCTTTCTTTTGTTTTAATCCTCGGTTATTGCAACTGCTCTATTAAGGGCATTCTTGTCTTTTTTCTATTAATCATACATTAGTTGAATATAACAAAGATTAGGGCTGTAATCAGCCCACGATTCAACTTTTCTCTCAACCTCTTGTCTCTTCTCCCAACTTCTGAACAGTTTGTACACTATTTTCTTCACTGAATCTTAAAATATTTTCTGTTTTTTTCCCTTTGATTTCCTTCATCATATTAGAGCATGACTTCACTCTTGTTTTTTTTTTTTTTTTTTTTTTTTGATCAGTGAAAGTAATTTTATTAATGAAAAGATATGAAAATTAGTACAAAGATTGGGTAGCCTCGGCTACCCCACTGTCCAAAAAACATTCCACCCAAATTTGCCTTACAATCTTACAATTGAGCCCAGAAACATTGTTCCCTCTTAGCCCCTTGCTTTGCTAGCTGATCTGTGAACCCATTTGCTACTCTTGGAGTCCACTGAACTAATAACTGAATGTCCTTTGTGATGTGCTTAATTTTTCTTGATCTCATTTCTGAATATCCATGGAGTCTTTCCATCATGTTTTAGCCAGCTTATAATCACTTTGGAGTCGCCTTCAACAACCAACTTTCTCACGCCTATTTCCATGGCTTTTTGTATTCCGAAAACCATTGCTTTTAGTTCAGCTGTAATGGAGTCCCCCCACCCAATAGGGCCGGAAAAGAGCCCCACTACACTCCCCGTGTCATCTCTTATAACCCCATCAATTCCAGCCATGCCCGGATTGCCAAAACTGCTCCCATCAAAGTTTAATTTGAGGAAACCAGATTCAGGAGGATCCCAACTCCTTACTGCCTTCTTTTTTGCAGATGATGAGAATGCAACAGTCCTCCAATTCCTGAAAATATCATCCACAGTAAAATCATCGATTTTACCCATGAGATCACTTTTAACATTATCCCTTCTATCAGTATTTCCTTGCACCTTTTCTTTCCTTCAAAAATTCTCTGATTTCTTTCCTTCAAAAATTCTCTGATTTCTTTCCTCCCATAACATCCAGAGTACTGCTGCCCGTTTGCATCTCCACAGGGTTTTTCCTCTTTTTTTTTGCCACCTGAAAGTGGAGGCTTCAAACAGTCTTGCCAAGCTCACTAGGGTGTCCCACCTGCATCCAAAGAGAGAAAAAAACCAATCCCAGATGCTGCTAGCTACAGGACAGGAAACAAAAATATGAAGAGCAGTTTCACCATTTGATTCACACAAACAACACCAATTTGGTGAAAGGCACCAGCCAGACCTCTTCCTCTACATCGGATCACAGGTGTTAATTGCACCATGGTAAACCTCCCAACAAAAAGCACCCAAGGTTCAAAATATCGATACGCCCGATACGCCGGTATGGGCGAATCGATACTCCTTTTGGTGTTTTTGCCACAACTTGAACCGGTTAGACCACCATCACACCCATTGTAGGGGCATATTGGTGGGGTGCCGGAACGATACGTATCGGCCGATACGTGTCGATACTTTGAACCTTGAAAGCACCCACTTTAGGGGAATAGGGTGACACCAGACTTCTTGGACTGGAAATTGGACCTAGATTGGAAAGAAGTCAGGGTTTTGAAGAAAGATGCACAACTGAAAGCTCCAAGAGTGTTAGGAATCCAGATTCTAGTGTCTTGTTTAGCAAGATCAATAAAAACCTTGTCAGACAGCTGAATGATAGAAGACACCAAATCCAATTCTGAGTCTCACACATTTCTACGGAGACCCCTATTCCAAGCAAATCCAGATTGTGATGGAGAAGGGGATAGGAAATCAGCAATCGGTTTGCCATTAAGGCAGGACAAAGCATAAATTGAAGGGAATAAGGTCTTTAGAGAAGAATCACCCACTCATACATCTTCCCAAAATTTAACTTTGTTACCTGAGTTGAGATCAAACCTAACATGATTGAGGAACAATGGAAGGAGTTTGTGAATCGTTTTCCACGATGAAGCACTAGAAACCCTGTAAGACACTCCAGCATCCCAACCATTTTCAGAGAGCACATGAATACTAGTCACAATCTTGTGCCACAGCTTGTTAGTTTCTTGTGGGAACCTCTATAACCACTTTCCTAGTAGAGCCTCATTCTTCTCCTTCAACCTTCCTAAACCCAATCCTCCACATTCTTTCCTCCTGGATACTAGCTCCCATCTTACTAAATGATCTTTCTTCTTCTCGCCCGGTTCCCACAAAAAGTCCCTCATTATTCTCTCTAGTTTCTTTCCCACAGCTTGAGGCATGCTAAACACCGAGAGGTAGTAAACTGGAAGATTTGCTAGGGTAGACTTAATAAGAGTAATCCTTCCCCCCAAAGAAATATAGTTCTTCTTCCACGCGGCGAGTTTCTTTTCAAACCTTTCCACGATTGGATTCCAAAGTCCTACACTTCTGGGATTAGCACCAAGGGGAAGGCCTAAATACTTGAGTGGCCAACCACTTCTTAAGCAACCTAGCTCCTCAGCCCACACATTAACATCTTTTTGTGTTAAATTGATCCCTGTCACCTGACCCTTATTAAGATTCACTATCAGATTTGTCACTTTTTCAAAGAGTTTTACCAGCAATCTCAGGTTTCTTGCTCCTAACTCATCACCATCCTCAAAAAAAATAGTGATATCATCCGCAAATTGTAGATGAGTTAGCACCACTCTCTCCCTTCCTAGTTTCCAACCCTTTAACAGACCAGTCTCCTTTGCCTTGGAGATCAATTTGCTAAAGACCTCGGCTAAAATGGTGAAGAGGAAAGGGGATAAAGGGTCCCCTTGTCTCACTCCTCTTAGGGCACCAAGGAAATCCTTGACTGCACCATCTACCAACATAGAGAAATGAGAAGATTGTAGGCATCCTTTAATCCATTTACATCATCTTGCACCAAAACCACACTTCCTTAATGCTTCAATTAAGAACTCCCAATCCACCAAATCATAGGCTTTCTCTGGATCCAGTTTACACACAATGCCCTTCCTTCTTGATATCTTGAAAACCTCCACACACTCATTGGCAATGAGTATTTGATCTGATATTTGTCTACCTATGATAAAAGCCCCTTGGGATTGAGAGATGATTGATGGGAGGGCCTTTTTTAACCGAAGGCAGAGGACTTTTGCAAGTATTTTGTATTGACTTGTCACCAAATTGATTGGCCTGAAGTCCTTAGGGTGGCAAGCACCAGATTTCTTGGGAACCAACGCAATAAAAGTGGCATTTACCCCTTTACTGACACTCTCCCTATCATAAAACTCCTCAAAAGCCCACATTTGATCATCCTTTAGCCACTCCCAATAGTCCTGATAGAAAGCCATAGTGAAACCATTGGGCTCGGGATCTTTAGAGCGATCCATACAAAAAATTGCTTCCTTCACCTCATCTAATTCAAAATTTCTCTCCAAGCTCCTACTAACAACATCTTCAAGGACTGGCCAATCTAAATCCTCTAGCTTCCATCTTCCTGAGATAGGCCTTCTTAAGATTGATTTAAAATGATCCACTAGAGCCTCTGCAATCTCATCATGACTAGTTATTGTACGATCCTCCACTTCTAACATAGAAATCAGATTCTTCATTTTTCTCTCGTTCGCAATCATGTGAAAGTATTTTGTGTTCCCATCCCCTTCTTTGATCCAACGCACTCTTGATTTCTGCCTCTAGGTCATTTCTTCTCTAATGAGTGGATTCTAGCTCTTTTCTTAAATTAAACCTCTCATCTCTTTCCCCTGCAGCCAATGAACTTGAATCCTCCTTATTTATTTCTTCAATTCTGTTTATTAGACTAGCCTTCCTCTCTTTTAGTCTCCCGAATTTATTAAGATTCCATTCCTTGATTTTTCCTTTTAAATTCTAAAGCTTCCTACGGAATCTAATCCCTTCTCACATAGCTTGGGGGCATCCATTTCAACTTGCATTGCATCTTTCCACTCTGGAACTGATAAGGCTTCTTACACTGTTCTTGGAATAGGGACATTGGCAATGGAAGTGAGATAGGACCGGTAAGAGGGAGATAGGCGATTATAGGATAAAAACTGGAAATGCAGTGAGCTGTAGATGTGGTGCAATGTCGTTTCCCTTTACGGACGGCAATAGGGAGGTCAAGGTCATCCGCAGGAGGGGAAATGGCAACAGTGGAAGGTGTCTCAGTGGGCCCTAGGACTGTAATACCTGGATCTGGAGCCGCAGAAGGAACTGGAGCTGGCCTGGACTGCTGATGATTGGGATCAATCTGCCTGCATCACCTGTGATAGACTCTTAACTCCTGATCCCTTTGACCACCCTCACCATTATAGCTTTCATCACCCAATGGAATAGGTAAAGGAACAGCCCCACTCCCACTGTGCTCCCCCTGAGGAAAGAGACCCAAATCCCCACTCTCACTACTCTCCCTCTGAGGAGAAACCCTAGGATAATAGGGTGTCTCCTCAAAGAAGGCAACATCCATGGAGACAAATTTCTTCCCTGAAACAGGATCATAGCAGTAATAACCCTTTTGAGTTTGTGCATAACCGAGGAAAATGCATTTAGAGGCCTTAGGTTCAAACTTGGAATGATGGGGCCCAAGAAGCTGAACGAAACAGGTACAACCAAAGGTTTTAAGGGGAACAATGAACAACTCCTTGTCTGGGTATAGAAGGGAAAAAGGGGTTTTCATATCAAAAACCCGGGAAGGAACCCGGTTAATGAGATATACTGCCGTAAGGATAGCATCACCCCAGAAGCGAATAGGTACATTGGAGGTAAACATAATGCTTCTCCTTTTGGCAACCCCATTTTGCTGTGGTGTATGAGGGCAAGTGTTCTGGTGAATAACTCCATGATTAAGGAGGTAAGAGGTCAATGGTTTAGCAAAGTATTCCTTTGCATTATCAGATCTAAGAACATTGATTTTTGCCCCAAACTGGGTTAGAATCATCTGATGAAAGTTTTGGGTCAGAGCGGGAACCTCATCTGGAGAACGCATAAGATAGACCTAAGAAAAATGGGTATGATC